TTATTTTGTTTTTGTCTGTATTTATGGAGCCCAAGGAAGGGGCCAAGAGAGGGTACACCCCAGCCGCGGAGAGCAAAGCAGACAGATCCAGTTTTCTGTGTGTTCTTACCTCTCTACTTCCTCGTAGCTCTGCTGATCAAGCAGGCCTCCCGTGTCCAAGACCCCATTCCTCCCACTTGTGTACACCTAGGCTGGCAAATCTTGGAGCCTCTGGGCTCTGAAAACTAGACAATGATCATTAAACCTGGCTTGAGTCTTGAGTCTCTGTTCTGGCAAAAAAAAAAAAAAAAAAAAGAGCCGCGGGGGCTTCTGGGAAGCGTTGCCCCTGGTCTAACGGACCGAGGCTTGTGGCGCTCTCAGGCACCGCCAGCGCCGTCCTCAGAGGCGCCTCGCCCCAGCCCGCGACGGCTGTGCCACTTGGGCAGCATTAGGTGTGGAGTCGGGGCCTGTGTCCGCGGGCTCTGTGGTGAGTCCTTGGGAAACCGCTAACTGAGCAACGGACTCTTTGTGCTTGGTGGGAGCGGGGGCCCGCGAACCAGCAGGGCGTTGCCTGAGCTGTTCCCTGAGGCCGTGGGAGTGGTGTGTGAAGGACTGTAAGTGTCTGGCGTGAAGTGGCTGTCATTTGCCAGATATTTGTCTGGCTGCGTGTGGCCCCGGGATCGTGTCCGTAAGCAGATTTCGTGGAGGTACTTTCCCTTTTATTTTTCAGTATGAACCTACATGCAAACGTGCGTGGCAGTGGGATCTTGAATGAATGAAAAACTCTGGATGCAAGAGTTCTTCCTATATTAAGGATTCATTCATTCATAGACTCATCACTTATTGAATGCTGTCTGTGTAACAGGCACAATCGTAGGTGCTCAGGATATAGCAGTGAACAAGAGACTAACCCCCTGCTATCATGGTACTTACATTTTTGTGGACCAGATAATAAACAAGCTCTACCTCTGCAGGCCCCATCCCTTCCCAGAAAGAAGAGGAAATGCGTGAGTTCCAGGGAACAGTGATAGTCAAAGATGTGGCTATTGACTTCACCCAGGAGGAGTGGAAGCGATTGGATACTGCTCAGAGAAACCTGTACTGGAACGTGATGCTAGAAAACTATAACAACTTAATCACAGTAGGCTACCCATTCATCAGACCTGATGTGATTTTCAAATTGGAGCGAGAAGAAGAACCATGGGTGATGGAGGAAGAAGTATTAAGGAGACACTGGCAAGGAGAAATATGGGGAGTTGATGAGCATCAGAAAAACCAGGACACACTTTTGAGACAAGTTGAAGAAAAATTCCAGAAAACACTGACTGAAGAAAAAGGTAATGACTATCATAAGAAATTTGCAAATGTGTTTCCTCTGAACTCTGATTTTTTTCCCTTCTAGACACAATCTCTATGAGTATAACTTATTTGGGAAGTGTTTAGAACATAATTTTGACTGTCATAATAATGTGAAATGCCTTATAGGAAAGGAACATTGTGAATATAATGAACCTGTGAAATCATACGGTAATAGCTCATCCCATTTTGTCATTACCCCCTTTAAGGGTAATCATTGTGGAAAAGGCTTCAATCAAACTTTGGACCTCATCAGACATCTGAGAATTCATACTGGAGAGAAGCCCTATGAATGTAGTAACTGTAGAAAAGCCTTCAGTCACAAGGAAAAACTTATTAAACATTATAAAATTCATGGTAGGGAGCAGTCTTATGAATGTAATGAATGTGGTAAAGCTTTCATTAAAATGTCAAATTTCATCAGACATTAAAGAATTCATACTGGAGAGAAACCCTATGCATGTAAGGAATGTGAGAAATCCTTCAGCCAGAAATCAAATCTCATTGATCGTGAAAAAATTCATACTGGAGAGAAACCTTGTGAATGTAATGAGTGTGGAAAAGCATTCAGCCAGAAGCAAAGCCTCATTGCTCATCAGAAAGTTCATACTGGGGAGAAACCTTATGCATGTAATGAATGTGGTAAAGCCTTCCCTCGAATTGCATCCCTTGCTCTTCATGTGAAAAGTCATACAGGAGAAAAACCTTATAAGTGTGATAAATGTGGTAAAGCCTTCTCTCAGTTTTCCGTGCTTATTATGCATGTTAGAATTCATACAGATGAAAAACCCTATGAATGTAATAAGTTTGGAAAAGCCTTCTCCCAGAGCTCAGCAATTACTGTACATATGCGAAGTCATACTGGTGAGAAACCCTATGAATGTAAGGAATGCAGAAAAGCCTTCTCCCAGAGCTCATCCCTTACTATACATATACGAGGACATACAGATGAGAAACCCTTTGACTGTAATAAATGTGGAAAAGCCTTCTCTCAAATCTCATCTTACACTTCATATGAGAAAACATACAGGTGAGAAGCCCTATCACTGTATTGAGTGCGGCAAGGCTTTCAGCCAGAAGTCACACCTTGTCAGACACCAGAGAATTCATACTCATTAGAACCCTATGAATATGTGAACATGGCAAAGCTTTCTGAAGGAATTAACACCTCATTGCACATTACATGACCATTTCTAGAGTAGAAACCTACGAATGTGGAATAGCCTTCTGAAAAAGCCACAAATTTATGAAGCATTAGATAATTCTGCCAAGGTGACAAATTCTATAATGAAAAAGCTGATTATCAGAAACTTTCAGCAGACATCTTATTGATAATATTTAATCTGCATTCTCATTGAAATCTGAAACAAGATATCTGCCATCAGCATAACAACACAATACTTGAGCTCCTGGCCAATGCATAAAGTAAGGAAAACAAGGTTGGGAAAACCAAGACTCAATGAAGAACTATAAAAGTAACTTTTGTACAAGAAATAGTTAATTAGAAAATATGTTGGTAGAAAAAACCTAAGAATAAACACAACAATGAATTATGAGGTATTTATAAAGTTACAAAACATATTGAAGGACACAAAAGAACACCTGAAAATGGCATTTTGTCTGAAAAGACTTGACATTGTCAAAATATAATTTCTTTTCCAAATCTCTAAGTTTAATATGCTTCCACTCAAAGTTTACATCAATTTTAAAGAACTTTACAAACTTATCCAAAAATTTTATATGGAAAAGTAAATAAACACAAATAGCTGAAACAAATTTGACAAAGCAAAATGGAGAAGACACGTTCTAATATTAGATATATCACATACTTATTTAAAGCTGTTGTCATTTAAGCAGTGTGTTAGTGAATAAATCAAGCAGTAGTAAGATAATAAGCATTGATACAAAAATCCAACCAGATACGGGAATTCTGTGTCTGACAGTGCTATTGAAATCACTGAGGAATTAATGGCTTGTTTAATAAATGCAAGGCTCATAGGAGAAAAATTTTAGCTTTCTACCTTATTTTTTTTTTATTTTTATTTTTTGTGGCAGGTTTTTTTTTTCCCATTTATTTATTTTATTGCATTTTAGGTTTTGGGGTACATGTGAAGAACATGCAAAATTGTTGCATAGGAACACACGTGGCAGTGTGATTTGCTGCCTTCCTCCCCATCACCTACATCTGGCATTTCTCCTTATATACAAAAATAAAATCCAACTAAAGACCAGAATATAAAAAGCAAAATTCTAAAACTATGATGAAAGTATAATGTATTACTTTAGGGTAACAGAATTTCTTTAAAGCACATAAATGTGGAATAGTCCATTGAATTTTGGTGTACTGGCCTCACAGACACCTACAAATGTACACAAAGAGATACATATTACCGTGTTCCTGAATCATGGTTTATACTGCCCAAAATTGGATATAACAAATTTGTATCAATTGTGGAACAGATGAATACATGTGATGATTTCTGTGATAAAATACTATACAGAATTCAGAGAGAAACAAAATCTACATATATTTACATGGATAGATTACAATATATGATACTGAGAGAAAATTAAAATGCATAACAGAACCCAGTATAACATTTGTATAATTTAATAACATTGTGGAAAGAACAGTACTATATACTGGTCATGGATCCATATATGACATTGGTTGCCTTTTGGGATGTGGAAAAGATTTGGTGGGAGTTGTTATATTTATCTGTAATATTTCTTTAATAAAAAAGTAAAAGCAAATATAACAGTGGTGGCAAAAAAAGAATTAATAAGTTTAGGGACAAATGTGAATGTGAAAGATTTTGCAGGTTGAACACCACTGCATGAAGCTTGCAATGTTGGATATTATGATGTTGCTAAGATACTTATAGCAGCTGGAGCAGATGTTAACACACGAGGATTAGATGATGACACTCCACTCCATGATTCTGCTAGTAGTGGGCACAGAGATATAGTAAAGCTGTTACTTCGTCATGGTGGAAATCCATTTCAAGCTAATAAACATGGGGAGCGTCCAGCGGATGTAGCAGAAACAGAGGAGTTTGAGTTGCTACTAAAAAGAGAAGTGCCTTTATCTGATGATGATGAAAGTTACACAGGTTTGTTTCAGATAACCTACATTCAACTATTTGACATGATATTTGATAGAACATTCTGGATTCATTTATAATACATAAAATGTTTGAATGTCTTAGAAAAAAATCATTTTTAATATGAAATATTTCCCTTTAATAAAAATGTTCACATCATATATTTAATGGGAAACAAAATGTCATGTGAACAGCCCAGAAATAAAATTGCCTTATCTTTCAGTTCATGTATTTTCTGTTCAAAATCTGTGCACATTCTTTTGCTGCTTCCAAACTGATTCTTGCTTCACAATTGCCTCATGTGCAAATCCTAGAAGAGAAGCTATACGGGATTCAGGTTCACATTTAGTAGTAGCTGCTACTCCTATAGGCATATCATTTTCCAACTTCTGGTGCATCTTCAACAAGAAGCTCTCTATGCTCTCATCTGAAGACCTGCTTTTTCTTTGAATATGTTTTCTGTTGAGACCTTCACTATCATTAAGATTTCCAACAGAAGGTGACTCTAGGACTGGCCTTGTAGTAGAAGCAGTGGCTGGATATCTGGTCTTCTCTTTCTCCACAGTAAGCTGAGTACTGACCTCTGCTATCATCTCATTGGTTCTTGTCAGTTCACTTGACAAGGATTTTACAACTTTTGCTTCTTCTAGGTAGAGTTCCTTATATCTTTCCAATTCGGTTTTATTATCAGCTTGCGAAGCCTTTATTCTGGAGAGTTCAGATTCCAGATCTTTGATTCTGAGTTCCATCTGAGGTTTTTTTTTTTTTTTTTCCCCCATTTATTTATTTTATTGCGTTTTAGGTTTGGGAGTACGTGTGAAGAACATGCAAAATTGTTGCACAGGCACACACGTGGCAATGTGATTTTTGCTGAAGTAATATCATTCTCCCTTTGCACTAACTGTTCTTGAGATACTGCTTGAGTCTGCAAGAAGAGATTGATTTCCTTTAACTTTTCTACTATCTCAGAGAATGTGCAACCACCCAAGAACACCCCCAAGATGAGGCGCAGGGACTCACTGGAAGCCTTGTCTTCCTTGGTCATATCTGTGAATGCAAAGTCACCACAGTTGAGCAGCCGTACCACCTCATCAAGGCCCTGCCAGCTTCGCCGCTCTAGCACCTGCTCAATGATTCGGCAGCTCAGGGGCACGTAAGCACCACGGAAGACGTAAGTCATGTCTCGGGGCACATTCAGATCATACTCACCATCCATGCGTGGGATCAAATTCAGCTTTTTGCTGATGGCAAGAAAATTGCTCTTCTTGGCCAGAGAACTGAAGGCATCAGTAATTTTTCCTGCAGCCTTGTCGGTCACCAGCTTGCTCACTTTACTTTCCACGGCTGTGAGGGTGTCCCCAGGGCTCTGCTCTGTTAGGAGCCCAGCTCATCGCAGATTGGAGAAGGTTAGCAGGTGCTCAGGGCCATAGCTCTGCAGATACTGTGTTTTCAGAGACCGGTAATCCTTGGGGATCAAACCATTCTCAGTGATAGACAAAAGGCATATGAGGCGCAGGCTTTCTATAGGCATTGCCCTCTGGTCAGTGGGGACTCTTTGCATTCACATCTTCTCCTGCTGCATTTTAAAGCATTTTCATAGTAAGTAGTTTGGCCTAATAAAGCATCTTTATAGCAAAAAAAAATCATACTAGGCTTCATACCTTGGTGATCAAATAATCTGTATAACAAACCCCTATGACCTACATAATAAAAAGACTGAAAAAAAAAAAAAAAAAAAAAAAAAAAAAAAAGACAGCATAAGGCAAATTTCCCACTCTTTCTTTTGCAGTATTTCCAAAAAGTAAACAAAACTCTTTTGCTCATGTTAATACTACATTACAGTCCTGTTCAAAAACAGAAACCAAATTCTATCTTTACATCAGTGTATTATTAATGCTAAAGTTAATTTTAATAAAATCTTACAAACCGTTCAATTCAAACTCAATCAGTTTTGACCACAGAAAATAAGAGTTTTATAAACATGATATAATCTGTTACTATTTTTTCATTGTCTGTCTTTCCCCAACATTCTATATTCATTTAGTTTTATCTACAAATTTTTTAATTTCTTACATTTGTTTGTTTGTTTGTTTGTTTCCATGGGTTATGAGGGAGAGGCGGTATTTGGTTACATGAGTAAGTTCTTTAGTGGTGTTTTGTGAGACTCAAGCAGTATACACTGAACCTAATTTCTAGTCTTTTATTGCTTGTCCCTCTCCCACTCTTGCCCCTGAAGTTCCCAAAATCCATTGTATCATTCTTATGCCTTTGCATCCTCATGGCTTAGCTACCACTAATGAGTGAGGACATACAATGTTTGGTTTTCTATTCCTGAGTTACTTCATTCAGAATAATAGTCTCAAGTTCCATAGAGGTTCCTACAAATAACATTAATCCATTCCTTTTTATGGCTGCATGGTATTCTATTGTGTGTGTGTGTGTATGTGTGTGTATAAATCACACTTTATCCATTTTGGGCTAGTTTCACATTTTGCAATTGCAAATTGTGCTGCTATAAACATGAGTGAACAAGTATCTTTTTTGTATAATGACTTATTTTCTTCTGGGTAGATACTCAACAGTGGGACTGCTGAATCAAAATGGTAGTTCTAAGTTTAGTTCTTTAATTAATCTACACAGTGTTTTTCATAGTGGTTGTACTAGTTTACCTTCCCACCAGCAGTGAAAAGTTTTTTCTTTTCATTGCAATACACCAACATCCATTTTTTTTTTAACATATATAGAGGCCATTCTTGTGGGAGTAAGGGGTATTGCATTGTAGTTTTGATTTGCATTTCCCTGAAAATTAGCAATGTTGAGCATTTTTTAATGTTTATTGGTTATTTGTATATTTTCTTTTGAAAATTGTCTATTCATGTCCCTAGCCCACATTTCGATGAGATTGTTTTCTTGCTAATTTGTTTGAGTTCCTCATAGATTCTGGATATGAGTCCTTTGTCAGATACGTAGATTGTGACGATTTTCTCCCATCCTGTGAGTTGCCTGTTTACTCTGCTAACTCTTCCTTTTTCCTTGCAAAAGCTTTTAAGTCCCATTTATTTATCTCTGTTTTTGTTGCATTTGCTTTTGGGTTCTTGGTCATGAAATATTTGCCTAAGCCAATGTCTAGAAGGGACTTTCCAATGTAACCTTCTAGAATTTTTATAGTTTCAGGTCTTAGATTTAAGTTCTTAATCCATCTTGAGTTGATTATAAGATGAGAGATATGGATAGAGTTTCATTCTCCTACATGTGATTTGTCAATTACCCCAGTTGAATAGGGTGTCCTTTCCCCACTTTATGTTTTTGTTTGCTTTCTGAAAGATAAGTTGTCTGTATTTGGCTTTATTTCTAGGTTCTTTATTCTGTTCCATTGGTCTATGCACCTATTTATATATCAATATCAATGCTGTTTTGGAGGCGATGGCTTTACAGTGTAGTTTATAATCAAATAATGTGATTTTTTGTTCCCTATGCTGTAAATTATCAAAAGTGTGTAAAAAATGTCAAAGATTGTTTTACATGCAAAAGAGATTCACAAATTGAATTGAAATGTATTGAATTTTTTGTAATTAAAATCCAATTTTGGAAAGCAAAAATCAATAAATGTCAGAAGATGTTTAAGTATTTGATTAATATTGGATTATGTATGCCCAAGAAAGAAAACCTGGTTACCTATTTAATCTAAATAACTATAAAACATTTAGAGAACATGACTGTAAAAATGTTAGCTCTTTTATAAGTAAGAAAACCTTGTTTTCTTAAATAATTTAAGGAATAACTACTTAAAAAATGAATATACCAAATC